AGTAAGTCTAGGCTTGCTCACAGTTGAACTGCCCGGACGCCGTTCCCACTGCTCGGACAACAACTCGAATGATAGTTCAACTATTCAGACACCTGTTCCACTACTCGAATACTCACTTCAATAGCTCGGCTCCCAGATAAACTGGTCAAAAACATGTTCCGGATGATCAGCAGCAAGTTGGACAGCTCATACAAGCTCAAGACGGTGTTGCTCGGCGGATACAAGGCGCTCGAGGACTAGCTGTGGGGGTATGACCCCCGATATCCATAGGACAAGACATAGGCCGCACCATCAGAGGTGGTCCAGCCCACAAGATCAATGCGTGCGGCGCATGGCACTGGTCGGCGTGCACCGCAAGGCTACAATAAGATATTGTAATACCAAATAGGATATTTTCCTTGTAACCCTACCCCTCCAGAGTATATAAGGAGGGGCAGGGGTCCCTAGACGGCGGATCTCATCTCTCATAATACAATTCACAAATACACACGATCTTTGCCAATACTATCCTACAAAAGATTAGTACTAACAAGAAACATATGCTCCCTTTCTTTGGATTCCACTTGTGTTCCAAAAGCAAAACGAGAGGAATATGGCATAACAACAGTGTTGATTTTACTGTCCTCTAGTTGATCATTACTTTACACAAAAAAAGGAGAATTCAGATTTGTACAAATGTAAACTCGTTCCATCATATATTGTCCTTTGTTGTTATATGATATGTATGTCTAGACAACCATAGAAAATCAGCATATGCATTAAGTTTCTCCTCCAAATAACTAACATTGCACAGAACATCAAATTCAATGTAACCCAAAGTATTTAAAGAAGATAAAAAATTTAGCTCATCAACATCACTAGCATTATGAATAACATGCTTATTTTCAGTACAAGTGTTCGATTTCAGCACACATATAGCATGACCATTCTTCAATGATTGCATGGGTATAACATAAATATCATCATGCAAGTCATCTTCGTCACAAGGAACATCAAGCAAATCATCTTATGACAAAGGTAAATCAAGCGAAGGCTCCACTAAAATTTGCTCTATCATATCATGATTGGTGGAAAATTTTAGCACATCAAGAGAACTCTCACCTTCCGTGAGTTTAGCATCATGGGCATTACCTTTGCTCTCATGTTCAGCAGGAGTAATAGTTGATGGTTCTAAATTTTCACACGAGGCTATGAACATCTCATTTTCTATCTCGTCATCCTCGCTCTTTTGTACATTGTCCTACAAAAGGTTAGGCATAGCAGGAGGAATAACAAGAGATTGATCTAGTTGATGCACCTCATCATTTGAATTAATTCCAAGAGATGGATTAACAAAATTTTCTCATAAGATCTTTCATATCATTCCATGTGTGAGGTTTATCTGAAAAAACTTAAAGACTCCCACCAAATTGATGCAGATTGTCTCAAAACACCAGTTGCATTTTTAATTTTCCTCCGTTTGCACATATAACTTTATGCAAAAATATTATCTATTTTAGTTTCCCACTCAATGTACTCATCAGCACCAATACTATCATAAGTAGGCGGGGAAGAAAGAATAGATTGACCTGCGAGAGGAGGTGTAGCAGCAATAGTGCGCGGCTCATACATCATTGATGTCTCATATCGGTACGTGTTGTAACCTGTCATTGTTAGCATCAAACAAGAAAACACACAAGTATGTATTTTTCCTATCAGCTACTATAGGATGTGGTCAAGGAGTAAAGTCACACACTCTCCAGCGTCTTACCACGGTCTTACAAGTGTTCTTACCAAAGCAACAGGTGGTGCAATCGGTCGGTGACTGTGATACCGTTGTAGCTTGAGTGTAACAGTTGTAAGGCGAACCTATACTTGGTTAGAAGAAAGTGGAGCTTGGACAGGCACAATATAGTAGTAAGGAATAGCAATATTCGTAACTGAATAGCAAAGCTGAATAAGTATCCCGAGTATTTGTCTTAGTTGCTGGTCTATTAACGTTCCAAGTACCAGATGTATCAAGTGATGTGAACAACAGGAATATGATTAGGAACAAGGCAGAAATCAACACACGCAAACACAGCTCAAATGGTGCTCTCTATGTGTTCCTCTAGATATTGTTCCACTTTTGTCCCTCTCTTTTTCTCTATTTTTGGGCTATCGTTGTTTTTTTAGATTCTTTGACTTTTTATTTTTATTTTTTTGATATTTTTTCTTCACTTAGGAGCACAAAAGAAGTAACCACATAAAATATGAGCTTAAACAAGTGAAAGGTGTGGCCTATGAAAAATTCAGAAGATGTGCTCAAATTTGACAAAAAGCTTGTGACCACGAAAAGAGGATCTTGTGATCAGTTTTTGGCCAAAATAAAATTTTCAAACCCAACAGAGCGAGGGACGAGCAGATCTGAATTTTTTTTCTGATCGATTTTGATATATGGAACGTCGAAATCTGAGTTCGTATGCGAAAACTAGACCAGTTTTAAGAACTGACTCCGAATTAGAGGACAAAACGGGAACAATGCGCGTAAAAGTTGTTGCGGCGACTATGGATAGATGCAAACAGTGAAGATAAGTGTAACAAATTAGATGGCGTGGACGAGAGTTTGATTGATACAAAGGAAACACAGCAAGACGTGAAGGTGTTCACGGATTATGATGAACAACAAAGGAAAAGACACAAACTGGACTAAAAATGATCTATAACCAGCAACCAGAACTTACCCTAAGACACAAACTCAACAACGCGAAACAGATACGAAATTGCACGGCACAACGAGGCTATAGGACATGGAATATGAGGCGGTGTATATTTTTTTGGCTTTTTGTGGACTATAGGTAAAACAAAAATAGTAACAATCTAAAAGAGAAAATAAAAGTATACCTAACGGGTAACAAGGTCTCTGATACCACTTGATGTAGACAAGACCCGATCTTCCGATAGGTACGATAGCGTCGATTGGTGGAGACTCGACGTTCACGATCTAGGCTTCGAACCAAGACTGATTCGGACCCTCGCAACCGTTACACCACTGCTCCGTTGGTTGTCAACCACGCGAACGCGATTGATCTCGTCGAGAAGGCTTTCCTACAAACGAATCGAGAACACAAGCGAGAACGGGATGAACGCAATTTGAAATCGCAAATAAATATGAGGCTTATGATAACGAGGAGTTCAAGTCTTTATTCGAAAGGACTAATCGCCACAGGCGAACAAGATCAAGAACTGGGGCCCTGTTTCACAGCAAGCGGCCTTGGCGGCACAGTTGCAGCAAAACGACGTCTGTTTCACAAGGAAATCAAGAACTAAACAAAACTCAAACTCTAAGGAGAGCGACGGCTACTAATTATAGAGCCCCGGACGTCATCCCCCCTGGACGCGCCCCCTAATGGGCTCTAAGACTATACACGGCCCAACGGACCAAAAGACGGTGTCACAGCACCCTGGCAGATTCTAGACGCTGACTTATTTTGACGATTCCCTTTGATTCCGAAGGGCTTTTGACGTGAGACCACTTGTATTGGCTTCCTTATCTAATTAGCTTTCCATCCATATGTGGATCGTTGAAAACGGAGTTCGGATGTGCCCGTGTGACCAGTTTTATGACATACTGGTCCTGGAACCCGAGATGGGCTCGAACTTGATTTGGGCCTCCACCTTGGTGACTCGAACCGGATGAGCTTCGAGCCTCCTTCTCGGTTAGGACACCCTCACTGATCTCTTCGTCCTCTATCTCCAAGCATGGTCATATGCATGGAGCTCATGTCCTTATCACGTTCTGTGTCACCATCCGGTTCCCTCACACGCACCTCAACCGATTCATCTACTACCGTGGGCATGTCCCTCGATAGACTGCCGGACGTATTTCGTCGACAAACACCCCCTTAGCAATCTTTCATTTTGCTGCATGAAGACAATATACAGTAGCGGATCTAAAATTTATAGAAGTAGTTTGCAAAATCCTTTGTATGTTAGAAAAGAAAAGAGAAAGCTTACCCATCAATCTATAACGTAAGGGTTCCACAGGTAAGGAGTAATAAGCCGTGGCTCACGATGGCGTACCTGATCGATCGAGTTGCAGATGTACTGCTCTTGTCTTCGTGTCTTGTACTCGTATACAAATTATGATGAGGCAAGCGCACCCAAAACTATTCAGTATATATGAACAGCGGGGTGTCAACAGGTGTGGATTACTACTGGGTCCGTAGGAATCGGAGAGGAAAGGCACTTTGGCACAAAGACACGGGGGAACGATAAGAACCGATGGAGAGCCCGCTGACTTAAGAAGCCTAGCGCGAACGAACGTGCATAATCCTTCCATTCGGACTAAGTTAAAGGCAACCGAAAGCATAAGCACACCATGCACAAGCACAGATAAACCGTGACACGGCAAATGTTTTTCTTTTTTTTTCTCTTCTTATTTTGTATACGAGCTGTCGAGCTGACGTGCTGTACAGCTGGATCAGCAACGCTCTGCTTGGATGTTTCCGATGTTTTTACATCTGCTTGCTTTCACTGATGTTGCATCACTTGCCTGATCGTCCGTTCTTTGTTCCTTTATACGGACGGCTGAGGTTTTCCCCGCGCAAACGGACGAAACAGGGGGCTACAGCGCGCGTGGGGCCCGATATCTTGCCCTGCTCCCAATCATGCCAAAGCTACACCTGTGACTGCGAGGCCGCAGAATGCAACCCTTTGCCCTACAGCCACGAACAAAAACTGCGAATATCTCGACGCAACCATCTCACATCGCAGGGCAATGAGACCGACTGTAAATATCTCAGTCCTAATTCTCTACTTCAGCTAGCCTTTCGGTTTCAGGCTTTTGAGAAGTGGTGTTGTTTATATGTGAGTGAGACAGAGTCTAAGGAGCTCTTAGAGCTATTCTGCTATGCCTGCAAATCATGGTTCTTGGATCATCTACTACCAGGTCTACAGTCACCAAAAGATAAACACGTGAGTGGCTTATGCCATTTCTAAAACTTGATTATGAATCCAACGCTGGAGTTGTTTCTCTTAGCTCATATGAACCCAATGCTGGAGCTGCTGCAGTGGCGACTGCGGCGCAACCCTTCAAGGCCATCAAATCGCAATTCGCCACTTAGGCCCTGGTACATCCGCCGCCACACATCAAGTTCCTTCCTCAATTTATCTGCCTGTTATGTGACGAGCAAGCGAAACAGCTGTCAGGAAACAAGATGAAAACTTTGTTTTGATAGAGAGATGGTGTTTTGTGACTGTAAATGGTTCCTGAAGGAACTGAACTCATTTAGCACAGAACTGCAGCACAAGTTTCCTTCTTCACAAACATGTTAAATCTCTTTTCCCAGTTATGGGGGGCGGTGTGTTTTGTGATTGTAAATGGTTCCTGAAGGAACTGAACTCATTTAGCACAGAACTGCAGCACAAGTTTCCTTCTTCACAAACATGTTAAATCTCTTTTCCCAGTTACGAGGGGCGGTCACTATGGGTTCATAAGGCCTGAACTAAAACAAATATATGAACTTGACGTTAGTATGAGCACATTACCTTAGAGGCCAGCTGCTTTCCTGCTTCCTCAAGTTCAGAACACCTTCAGAAGTAAGCACACTGGTTATTATGGTAACATGACTAAACCAGTTTCTTTTGAAAAAAGAAAAGAAAAAACATATCTACAATGCAATATTGCATTTTCTGAATCACGAATGCTGGGATAGTATGATATCCTTACTAACTATTACATTTTACAACTCTACAAAAAAGTGCACCTACATCCCACCCACTAGGGCACAAACCAAACAGTGAGCCCCTGAAATTCTTATTTGCTTTATTGCTTGCTTTGAGCCTTGTAAGACTATCGTTGAAACAAAAGAGAATAAACTACCGCAGTGCGAGAAATGAATCTACAAAGCAGAAATTTTAGGTTGTAATCAATCTTTTCAAGCATTTATGGGTATAAGCTTATAGGTGATCCTCAGACTAGTTTGGGCATTAACTCAGAATTAACCAGATGCATTATGGAACAACATATCTCAGATGGAAGTCAATCTAATTTTGTACGGTTTCCCTTTCAGATTTGTATTCTTAAATCCATTGTGCTTATTTTTGTGACTACTATTTTTTGCTTAGCTATAATAAGAAGAAAACTGCCGAGAGTTTATTCATATTTTGTAATGGAACTGTCATGTGTCATCTGAACTCATCTTTCTCATCTGCAATCTCTTCTCTCATCCCAAACAGCCAACTCCATCGATACATCCTCTCATTGGTGTTATTCAGTGATGATCCAAAGGATCATTAAAACCCACTTATGGTGATGGGATAAGTCTCTGTGTTGGCTGGTCTTTGTGGGGCTGCAGCATATGGTCCTTGTGGCTGCATGGTGGTCTTGCTGCCCATCAAGGACAGCATCCTTGACTGGCTAGGACAGCATCTTAGCATCTAGGACAGCATCTAAGACGGCACCTGTTTTAGGACAGCATATTAGCATCTAGCATCTTGGCATATGCTTGGCTGGCTAGCAGCCTATAAATATGTATCCCCAACCCCTCAGGTTGGCATGGCATTTGTGTGAGAAATAAACCAGAAAATTGCCCCAACTCCTAGTGTCATCATCTCTCGATGAGAGTAAGAATTCTGCTACTACCAAGAGTAAGAATTCAGCGACTAACATCTGGTATCAAAGCCGTACTATCCTGTAGCCTGAGCATCTCCTGCTCATCTCATTTCCCAGCCTCGCAACAGCCCCAGCTGGGAGCAGCAGCAGCTCCGGCCGCTCCTGCTCACTCCTCTCCCTCTGAAGCAGCCCTCTCCCCACGCAGCAGCCCCCCGGTAGCGCGTCATGTCCGCAGGACAGGCTCAGCGCTCGGTCGCCTCGAGCACGCGGCGTCGGCAGGAGGCCGAACTTGCCGCGGCAGAGACCGCTACGGCGGCGGCAAGGGCGTCGAGGCTGGCAGCGGCGAAGCTGGCAGCAGCCAGAGCGAAGGCGGAAGCGGCGGCGGCGGCGGATGCAGCGCGTGCGGCGGCAGCATCAGCAGCTCCATTTCTGCTGACGACAGCGCCGACGCGGACCTCGAGCTGCTAGGGAGGGAGGCAGCGCGAGCACGGGCGGCGCAGTGGGCAGCCGCACATGCCCACAAGCGCGGCGGCAGCCCAGACAGACGCGGACGCGCCGCCGGCGCTCCTGGAGGAGGCGCGCACGGCAGCGGTGGTGGACGGGTCGATGGAGAGCGCGGCCTTCACAGGCAGCGTGGCTCTCCCCAGATCGGTACCGTGGTTACCACGGGCTCCAAGCTGTTGTCAGGGACGTCGGCCCCGGCGGTGGGTGGCCTACCCTCACTAAAACCAACTACGTCGAGTGGGCTGCGGTGATGAGGGTAAAGCTCCAGGTGCGGCACATGTGGGAGACAGTCCGGTACGGCGACGTCGACTACGACCAGGATCGACGGGCGTTGGATGCCCTCATCGCTGCAGTCCTGTCCGAGATGCAGTTCTCGCTTACCAACAAGCGGACTGCCAAGGAGGCTTGGGACGCCATCGCTGCGGCACGCATCGGCAGCGACCGCGCCCACAAGTCCACACTACAGGCACTTCGCAAGGAGTGGGAGAACCTGGCCTTCAAGCCAGGTGAGGATGTTGATGACTTTGCTCTCCGTCTCAACACTCTGTTGCAGAAGATGGTGTAGTTCGGCGATGACACCTATGGCGAGGAGAGAGCTGTCGAAAAGCTCTTCCGCTGCGTCCCCGATAAGTACAAGCAGATGGCTCACTCGATCGAGTCTCTACTGGATCTCTCCACGATGTCGATCGAGGAGGCGATAGGTCGCCTCAAGGTCGTCGACAACGATAAGCCACAGTCTCTCTCGGGGCCCATCACCACTGGCGGGAAGCTCCTTCTCACTCGGGAGTAGTGGGTTGCCTGCCAAGGTCACCGGAAGAAGGGGGGAGCCTTCTTCCGCGACAGGCGGCCGCAAGCGTGGCAAGCCGCGCAGAGACGCCCAGGCCGGGGCGCGAGGACGTGTCGAGGGTGATGCCCGCGAAGGCGCCTAGGGCGGCGCCGCCGGCAAGCACAAGCCGGCACGAGACGACACCTGCCGCAACTGCGGCCAGCTTGGCCATTGGGCCAAGGACTGTCGACAGCCACGACGCGGCCAGGCCCACATCGCACAGGTGGAGGAGCCGGCTCTGTTCATGGCACATGCAAGCATCGAGCTACCTCTAGCGGCACCGGCCGCAGCGGCTCTCCACCTTGACGAGCCAAAAGCACACGCCCTCCTCGGCGACGGCTCCGGCAACGACAAGACTGACGGGTGGTGCCTCGACACCGGCGCCACCCATCACATGACCGGTCGACGCGAGTTCTTCACCGAGCTTGACTCTAGCGTCCGAGGCTCCGTCAGGTTTGGGGATGCCTCCGGCGTGGAGATCAAGGGCGTCGGCTCCGTCATCTTCACCGCCGTGTCTGGTGAGCACAGGCTGCTCACCGGAGTCTACTACATCCCCGCGTTGAGGAACTCTATCATCGCCTTGGGACACCGGATGAGAACGGTTCGCGCGTCTTTGGTTGAGGATGGAGTCATGAGGATTTGGGATCGCCATCGTCGCCTTCTTGCCAAGGTAACCGAGCGCGCAAATCGACTTTCGTCCCTTAACGTGCGGTGGCACAACCCCTCTGTCTCGGCCGCTTGTCGGGATGACGAGATGTGGCGCTTTTAGCACGGCGCTTGGCACCTTCACTTCGAGGCCTCAAGCGGCTCGGTTACACGGAGATGGTGCGAGGCTGCCGTGCCTCGACCATGTGGAGCAACTCTGCGACGTCTGCGTGTTGACGGCGGGCGACTCCCTTTCTCCGGCCGAGGCGAGCTTTGAGCCAAGGAGAGGCTCGAGCTTGTGCACGGGGACTTGTGCGGCCCGGTGACACCGGCCACACCGGGAGGACGACGCTACTTCCTGCTGATCGTCGACAACCTCTCCCGCTACATGTGGGTGATGGTCCTCGGCAGCTAGGGAGAGGCTGCGGACGCCATCAAGCGCGCACAGGCTGCTGCGGAGGCGGAGTGTGGCCGCAAGTGCGCTGCGTCTTTGCGCCCGGCAACAACAGCCGGTGAATTCGTCGTCTTTCAAGGCCGATAAGGGCATTCAGCGCCACTACTCCGCGCCGTATATCCCGCAACAGAACGGCGTCGTCAAGCGGCGCAACCAGACGGTTGTGGGGATGGCTCGGGCCCTTCTCAAGCAGAGGGGGATGCCGGCTGTCTTCTGGGGAGAGGCGGTGGTGTCGGCCGTCTACATCCTCAACCACTCGCCTACTAAGGCGCTCGACGGCAGGACGTCGTACGAGGCTTGGCATGGGCGCAAGCCGGCGGTCTCCCACTTGCGGGTCTTCGGCTGCCTCGCGTTCACCAAGGAGCTTGGCCACATCAATAAGCTTGACGACAGGAGCACTCCGGGAGTGTTCATCGGCTACGCGGAGGGCTCGAAGGCCTACCGCATCCTCGACCCGAAGACACAGCGTGTGCGCACGGCTCGCGACGTTGTGTTCAACGAAGGGCGAGGATGGGCGTGGGACAAGGCGGTGGACGACGGCTCGGCTTCGACGTACGACGACTTCACTGTCGAGTACGTCCACTTCGAGGGAGCTGGGGGAGTAGGTAGCTCTTCTTCGACGAGCGCGTCTACCCCAGTCCCCGAGCCTCCACCGACCCCGGCGCCTGCTACTCCGACAGCACCACGCTCTCCAGCCAGGACCTCGGCTGCGATGAGTTCTTCGCCGGCTCCACCACAGCCGGCACCGCCACGCACTCCAGCACCGACAGGCACCTCTCCGGGCACGTCTACTCCAACACCAGCTCGTGTCGAGCACAGCCCGGTTGAGCTCGCTACTCCGCTCTCTCACGACGAGGAGCGCATCGACGCGTACCACGACGGCGAGCCGTTGCGGTACCGTACGATGGAGAACCTTCTCGGCGACCAGCCGGTGCCGGGACTGGTGCCTCACGACCTGGAGGCGCAGTTGCACCTTGCGTGTGACGACGGCGAGCCTCGGTCGTTTGCAGAGGCCGAGAGACACGCGGCATGGCGCGCCGCGATGCAGTTGGAGATGGATGCGGTTGAGAAGAACCGCACCTGGAAGCTTGCTGACCTTCCTCGTGGTCACCGCGCGATCACCCTTAAGTGGGTGTACAAGCTGAAGAGGGATGAAGCCGGCGCCATCGTCAAACACAAGGCTCGCTTGGTGGCACGAGGTTTCGTGCAGCAGGAGGGGGTCGACTTCGACGACGCCTTTGCTCCCGTGGCACGGATGGAGTCCGTGCGACTCCTCCTTGCGCTAGCTGCCCAGGAGGGCTGGCGTGTTCATCACATGGACGTCAAGTCGGCGTTCCTTAACGGCGACTTGAAGTAGGAGGTCTACGTGCACCACCACCGGGATTTGCGATCCACGGCAATGAGGGCAGGTGCTCCACTGCGCAAGGCCCTCTATGGCTTGCGGCGGCAGCACCGGCGTGGAATGCCAAGTTGGATTCCACGCTAAAGGGATGGGCTTGAGCAAAGCCCGCGACGAGGCGGCCATCTACCGACGGGGCAGTGGAGGAAATGCTCTGCTGGTGGGTGTCTACGTCGACGACTTGGTGATCACCGACACCAAGGATGCGGAGGTGGCGGCATTCAAGGAAGAGATGAAGGCCACCTTCCAGATGAGTGACCTGGGGCCTCTCCTTTTACCTGAGAATCGAGGTGCACCAGGATGACTCCGGGATCACGCTTCGACAGACCGCCTACGCCAAGCGCGTCGTTGAGCTAGCTGGGCTCACCGACTGCAACCCAGCTCTCACTCCGATGGAGGAGAGGCTGAAGCTGAGCCGCGACAGCACGACGGAGCTGGACGCTACGCAGTACCGACGTCTTGTGGGGAGCCTTCGCTACCTCGCCCACACACGCGGCGGACTTGGCATTCTCCGTCGGCTACATTAGTCGGTTCATGCAAATGGCGACGACGGCGAGCACCAAAGGTCATGAAGAGGATCATCCGCTACGTTATGGGGACTCTCGACCACGGCCTCTACTACCCTAGGTGCCACAGGCGGCACACTTCGTCGGGTGCAATGACAAATGACCACGCCGGGCGACATCGACACCAAAGAAGAGCACGGCGGGATCATCTTCCTCCTCGGCAAGTGCCTCGTTAGGCGGGCGATCGGTCAAGCAAGCAGGTGGTGGCCTGTGCCCACCGCGAGGCCGAGTACATAGCGGCCTCCACCGCTTCGACTCAGGCGCTCTGGCTCGCTCAACTGCTTGGTGATCTCCTTGGCAGAGACACTAGAGCGGTGAAGCTCAGGATGGACAGCAAGTCCGCTCTGGCCCTGGCAAAGAACCCCGTTTTCCATGAACGGAGTAAGCACATCCGGGTGAGGTACCACTTCATCCGAGGCTGTTTGGAGGAAGGGAGCATCAAGGCGAGCTACATCAACACCAAGGACCAGCTTGCGGACCTGCTTACCAAGCCTCTTGGGAGGATTAAGTTCCTTGAGCTCTGCTCCAGGACCGGGATGGTTCAACTTTCCTACAAGACGACGCACAAGACTTAGGGGGAGAATGATGGGATAAGTCTCTGTGTTGGCTGGTCTTTGTGGGGCTGCAGCATATGGTCCTTGTGGCTGCATGGTGGTCTTGCTGCCCATCAAGGACAGCATCCTTGACTGGCTAGGACAGCATCTTAGCATCTAGGACAGCATCTGTTTTAGAACGGCATATTAGCATCTAGCATCTTGGCATATGCTTGGCTGGCTAGCAGCCTATAAATATGCATCCCCAACCCTTCAGGTTGGCATGGCATTTGTGTGAGAAATAAACCAGAAAATTGCCCCAACTCCTAGTGTCATCCTCTCTCGATGAGAGTAAGAATTCTGCTACTACCAAGAGTAAGAATTCATCGACTAACATATGGTACAAAGCCATTTCCTTACTTCATCTTTTAATGATTTTATGACAGCTTTACACACAATGAATATGGAGAATGAAATTAGTAATTAAAGTGGTTATGAAGTAAAGAAAAAAGATTGCTTTACTCACTCAGCCTTTAGCATGGTATTCGAATCAAGTACAACTCTGAACTCTGCCATCTAGAAGTATGTGAATGATTGTAAGAAAAAAAAGAAATTGATATACTTTAAAAAAAACAGCTCAATTAAGTAATCAGCACATTTCCAACCTCTGTGCCAATATCGCTTTCAGGTTTATCAAAATAAACATTGGTGTTCCGCCTTTTTTTAGATCTCCAGTGAATCTCTGAAGAAGACTTTCTTTGTTTGCATAGTTCTGCTTCCGGAACATTAATCAGAAAAAATATCAAAGGTAATCAAAGGAGTTGAAATATAGATGAAACCAACCAGCTTGAGATTGTTGGGGTGCATATCTTAGTGAATGTAATGTTGTCCCCACATTTATGGTCATTGAAGGGCATGCATCATATCTCATTTGATCAAATGAGGTACCAACATCAGCATGCATAGGATCTTGTGCGTTATATCCATTTGAACAAGGGTGCAATCCTACAGATACCCTGGCTCTTGAATTGTAACCATAAGTGTTTGTGGTAGATTGAGCTGCTAAGTTATCATCACTGTTTTCAGCAGTAGTTGATACATAATGTGCTGGAGGAGGCCTTTTCATGACCGGATTGTAACCAACCATATGGCAATGGTAAGTCCTGCGAGACATGGATTGTGCAGTTTGTCAACTACTTATCTGTCCATCATAAACATCAGTGCATATCCAAATACAAAAACAAGTATGTGTATAATAACGTGATTAGATAAATTCAAAGATATAAAATAAGGTACATGAACAGGCTCACTATGTAAATAGAGTGAAAGGACCTCTAGCTAAGTTGGTTAGATGGCTTGAATAGCACTCCTCAGGTCCTGGTTCGACTCCTCGTGGGAGCGAATTTTCAGGCTGGAGTTAAAAACAAATCCCCTCATCTGTCCCACGCCAAAGCACAGGTCTATGGCCCGGCCCTTGTCGTGGTCGTTCTCACATGGGCTATAGTGTCGTTGTATGGGTGGGGCAGGGATTCGGGGGTTTTCTCGACCTGTGTTAGGTCTTCTTAATACAATGCTCGGGGGCTGCCTTACCCGCAGGTCAAGTTTTTTTTAGAGAGCAATACATCTGATTTGGCTCTAATTTATATATGAACGTGCAAAACATATGTGGGGAGTGGTCCAATACGCAATGAGTAAAGAAACCAAAGTAAAAGTGAACTGACCAATACTCTTTTGCCATGTCTTTCAATCGTATCTCAAGTCTCTGGAAAAGTCCTGTCCTCTCAAAATCTTGCTTATCATGTGTAGGTCTTATGAAGTTTGCCTCCAAAACCCCTAGCAAATGGCAAAATTAGCATAATATATAAATTTCCTTTCAATTGATTCTAGTAAAATAATCAACTCCGCCTATGTTGTCTCAACATAGCAAGTCCCAAGCCCTGGTAAAGGAGGAGGGTTGTGATAGGCGTGGCGAGCCAACGTTAAATCTAACCATTCTAATTGAGATGAAACCCGAAAGGAACAAAGTGGTGGAAACTGAAAGGGGAGACGTCAGAGGTATTCAGGGAAAGGGTTATCAAATAGGGCTCTTGGAAGGAAGAAGAGGACATAAACAACATGTGGGAGAAGATGATAACCAACATTCAGAAGGTGGCCTCAGAGGTGTGTGGAGTATCCAAAGGAAGTGGAGGCAAGGCTAAAGATACTTGGTGGTCGAACGATGAAGTCCAAAGGGCTATTAAGGAGAAAAAAGAATGCTATAGACGCTTATACCATGACAGGAGTGTGGACAACATAGAGAAGTACAAGGTGGCAAAGAAGACTGCAAAGCGAGCTATAAGTGTTGCAAAGGGTAGAGCGTACGAGGATCTTTACCAACATTTGAGTACGAAGGAAGGAGAGAAGGACAATTATAGGATGGCTAGGGTTCGTGAGAGAAAGACAAGGGACTTCAACCAAGTTAAGTGCATTAATGATGAAAGGGAGCATCTCTTGGTGAAGGAGGATGAGATCCGACATCGATGGCAAGAGTATTTTAACAAATTGTTCAATGGTGAGAATACGGACATAACCTTTCAGTTGGATGACTCTTTTGATGACACAAATTGGCGCTTTGTGCGGAGAATCCAAGAATCTGACGTTAGAGTCGCGTTGAAAAGGATGAAAGGAGGTAAGGCGATGGGACCAGATGGTATCCCAATCGAGGTGTGGATATGCCTCGGGGACATAGCTATAGTATGGGTAACCAAGCTGTTCAACCATATTTTTCGATCGAACAAAATGCCTGACTAGTGAAGGAGAAGTATATTAGTACCGATCTACAAGAATAAAGGGAATATTCAAAGTTGTACTAATTACCGGGGAATTAAGTTGATGAGCCATACTATGAAGCTATGGAAGAGAGTTATCGAGCATCGCTTGAGAGTAATAACGCGGGTCTCTATGAACCAATTTGGTTTCATGTCCGGAAGGTCAACCATGGAAGCAATTTTCTTAATAAAACAAGTTATGGAGCGGTATAGAGAGAAGAATAACCTACACATAGTTTTTATTGATTTTGAGAAGGCTTATGATAAAATACCAAAGAATGTTATGTGGTGGGCTTTGGACAAATATAAAGTCCCAATGAAGTACGTCGGGCTCATTAAGGACATGTACAACAATGTTGTGACTAGTGTTCGAATAAGTGATGGAGACACGGATAACTTCCCGATTAGGATAGGACTACATCAAGGGTTAGCTTTGAGCCCTTATATGTTTGCCTTAGTGATGGATGAGGTCACAAGGGACATACAAGGGGACATCCCTTGTTGTATGCTTTTCGCGGACGATGTAATGCTAATTGATGAAAGCCGAACAGGAGTGAATCAGAAACTGGAGTTATGGCGGGAAACTTTGAAGTCCAAAGGTTTTAGACTCGGTAGAACTAAAACTGAGTATATGAGATGTGACTTCGGCACTACTACTCAGGAGGAGAAAGATATTAGTTTGAAAGGTCAAGTAGTGCCTAGGAAGGATACCTTTCGATATTTAGGATCAATGCTACAGAGAGACGGGGATATTGATGAAGATGTTAGCCATAGAATCAAAGCAGGGTGAATGAAGTGGCGCCAAGCATCTGGTGTCCTATGTGACAAAAGGGTACCATAGAAGCTAAAAGGCAAGTTTTATAGGACGGCGATTAGACCTGCTATGTTGTATGGTGCAGAATGTTGACCTACGAAAAGACGACATGTTCAACAGATAAGTGTCGCGAAAATACGTATGTTGCGTTGGATTTGCGGTCATACAAGAAGGGATCGAGTTTGGAACGATGATATACGTGATAGATTAAGGGTAGCACCAATTGAAGAAAAGCTTGTCCAACACCGGTTGAGATGGTTTGGACATGTCCAACGAAGACCTCCAGAGGCACCGGTGCGTAGTGGAATCCTAAGCCAGGATAGTAACGTGAAGAGAGGCAGAGGAAGACCGAAGTTGACTTGAGTAGAGACAATAAAAGGAGACTTAAAAAGATGAAATATACCCAAAGACTTAGCCTTAGATAGAAATGCTTGGAAAACAGCTATTCACGTGGCTGAACCTTGATTGCTTCTGCTTGTTTCAACTCTAGCCTACCCCAACTTGTTTGGGACTAAAAGGCTTTGTTGTTGTTGTTGTTGTGATTCTAGTAAAATAATCAATACAAAAAAATATGAGGAATAAAAATAAAGCAACAGAGTCAAAAATATATATATATATAGTGCGAGTTCTTACCAGCAATGCCTCTTCTACGTCCACTACATGAGCCTGCACACCAATAGGGCTGAGGAAGAAAAAAAAATATGGAATGAGGAATGAATGAAACATGGCCTAAAGAAATGTGGAATGAGGAATGAATGAAACATGGCCCATCAGCATTTAATATCAAGTATAAAGGGAAGTGGATTTGAAAGGTGACTTTTTATGAACTAGATGGCCCTGAACTCGAGCATTATGATGATGGTGATAACAGTGAGGTGAGATACGCTGAGGAACTTCTACACATCCATTGTTTGGTTCAATATGATAAGAATCACATCCTTACTAAAGGATAGAAACTATATGGAATGAAACTAAGAAGATTATAGAACTAAAATTGAAATGACTCTAATCCCTAAATTTTGTACGTGCTGCCATGCTATAGTGCTGTACTGTCATGAACAGTGACCCAAGTCGCTGCACATGACGCATCTTAGAATAAGGTGAACTGTGACATTAAGATATATAAAAAGTGAATGTTAAAAAAAAAAAACCTAAACTCCAAATACGTTTTACCCAGTATACACAGTGCCCCTTGGAAGGAGAAGTTTGTAGCAATGGCCTATAGTGTTTTTTTCTCAAATCTGAAGGAAACTGTATGTTCCTATATTAAGAAGAAATAAACTTAGGTTCAGATGTGCTCGTGTAGCATAGCAATTAGTCTTCCAAGTGAGAATGACCGAAAAAAAAAAACCCTTGGCCTCAAGAAAAGAAAAGGCCTCTCTGTGCGTCCCCTGTGGATAAGACCTGGAGGTCAGCCTTCTCTCGACACTTAGCAAATGGCCATGCAGCATCTTTCCCCGGGGTCGTTTTTTTTTTTTTGGTAAAACTCAGGTTCACAGGAAGGAGCTAAAGAAGTTCCTCGCAGGAACAACAACAAAGAAAATAGAAAAAGGAACAGCCGCGAGCTAGAACAGCTAGACCAACTCCCTAATCCTGTACAGACCTATAAAGGTACGCCAGTCACAAAAACCGAGTGCCATTCACTACACATGACAATGGCCCTTTAGTTTATCCTGATTGTATCCTGGCCCTCCAACAATTTTCTATTCATATAAGTGGAAAATTGATACAACACTATATCAAAAAATCAGATTCTTACGCATTCAAGAAGAAAACAAAGAATGAGATCTTCGAACACTACTTGAAAGAATGATATTCAGATTATGCCACTCAAGAATTTGAATTTCAAGTCCTGAAATACCATGCAAGGAGCTGGATGTGATCTTGGTGTGGTCAGGGATGACAGGAGTCATTCCCCCTGGAAAAGGTAATCTGATTTACATTAAAGCGAATGGAGGTGTGGGTGTATAACCCACCACCCAGCTCTGAGTCCTCTTCAACTAAATCTGGGTACCTATTTCTTATGATTTACAATGCAAGCTAGCTCCTCCTAGGTTGCTCAAGTTTTTTTTTACTTTTGTTTCCACAAAAAGGACTGAACCCCCCAAATTGGCATTTTCAAGGCTCAAACCTGCTAGTATATACCAACATATATAGTCTTCTCTCTTCTTTAGTTCCTCTCTTTGTGGCCCATGTAGGCCTTATGACCCTTTTGGCCCATACTCTGTAGACTTGTGACCTAGACCTAGACTCAGGGCCTGTTTGGAACGTAGGAATTTCACAGGAATCACATAGGAATTTCATAGGAATCAGTTCAATTTCACAGGAAAAACGCAGGAATGGGGAAAAAATCCCGCATTCCAAACAGGCCCTCAGTGGAACTGGTCAGTGGTCATTCTTCCCTAACAAAACACACCTTTGCACTGGCTAATACTCTGATGAACTATTGGCGTGCCATTTCAAGAGTTCAAATTCCTGAGTTGTCTTGATTTTTTTTTCCATCATGACAGAATCATACACTCATTAATTTAAGTTTTATAGATTGGCCAAATCTCTGATATAGTCATTGCATGATCCTGTGAAATTTTGGTTCCTAAACTAACTAATGAAAGTGCATGGAAAGTTACAGGACCGAGCAACATGGAAAATTTAAAAAGCAGTAGGCTATACAGTACAATTAAAAATTTACCAGTATAAGACGGTTCTTATGGTAGACACTAAATCCATAGATATCAAGTCGTGGAGCACCTTTTAAGAAGCCAATTGTAGTAATGACATCAACCTGGCTAAGAATAAGAAAACAAATAGCTGTTAGTGCACTTGCATACTTTCCAGTAATCTAAACAATCTTCATTTTTAGAGATGTGGAAAAACAATTAAGCATAATTTTTTTCAACACTAAAAGATATAGCACAAAGCCACAAACAGAATATTCTTTGCGAAAAAAGGGTACAGTTGCAAACTAGTATGAGTTTTCCAATGTACAATCATTTCAAATAGGAAAACTGTGCAGAATAGGTCCACATCCCAGTAGCGCTAAATCGAGTCGGGTAGAACAAACCTCTGTGGTTACTTCAACCTGTGGTCGATATTTGATACATTCACGGTATATGAGATCATTGGCGACATAATGTGGTTCAACAGCTCGTCCACACAAGATGATTTGAAAGTTTTCAGGTACATGCAGGTATAGCATAGATGCATAAACCTGTGAATGTAATGGCCTGTAAGACATTCCAATTAAAAGTTGCAAAACCATATTTACCACATGAAACTTACCCGAAGCGAATATCGGAAACGATTTGCTACATGCATCTGTGTCAAGCTTTCAACTGTATTCCACCCTGCTCGTATCTCCGGTGCTCCTGAGATCAAAATATCCTGCAACACCACATGAAGTTTTCTTTAAGCAAAAATTTGTGCACAGCTGCATATAACATGAAAAGGGAAAAACTGAGCAGCAATGAACATTAGAACTATGGCCCATCCTCATTTGTATAAGAACATGATACAGGACCTAGTAGTGTAATTTGTAGAAATCGCAAAAATGTACAACAGTGGAAAATTAACTAATTAGCAACCTTGAAAGCTAAATAAGACAAATAAAGAAGAAGAAAGCATATTTTATAGTGCATTTACAAAGTACAAGCTATTGAAAAGAGAATCAAATCTGGACCTCTTTATCAGTTATAAAGTCAAGCTCCATTTCCAATGCATCATTTAACCACAAGTTGAATACAAAGATTTTTGTGCCATGGCACTCCATATCGCTGAACTGTCAAGGACACACATTGGAGTAAGTAGCAAGCTAAGTTAAACAACAGAGCAATCTTTAGCGGTAGTTAAGCAGCACAAATATTTTTAAGATATTCCTCAAGTGGCTAGGAATTTATCCCAAACTTTAAGTTATGCAAAAACAGTAACAGACATACATGTTGGATATTCAATGCACTGATTCTCACCTCTATTTCACTAATATCCGAATCCTCTCATTTATTACAACTGCTCAGGCAATTATAAGTACCCCAACATCAGGAATACATCCTAATTATCTTTTAAGACACATTTGGAAAATAGATAGTAGTACAATTTGTTAACCACATATACCTATAAACTTCTCAAAATTTATGTTCACTTCATAAAAAAAATTGCACTTTACATGTTGCAATTGCACAACACCGGAACTACTCCTCTGACCAATAGTTAACCTTTGATGTTCTAGGCAACAAGGACCAGTCCTTATCCCTAAATGCTAGTAAGGTAAAATCTCCTTTGTGACAACATAAGAAATAAAAAAAAACAATGCATTTGGGAATGCGTAGCAGCTACAATGTTCGAAAAGGCGACGCCTCATCCCCGCCTAGGCGCGACTAATCGCAAGGCGAGGGGTTCCGCCTGGCCTACGGGGGTAGGCGGACCCCTAGGCGGGCGGAGCGCCTCGGCGTCGATTCGGCGGCGCTGAAGCGGTCTAGGCGGCGCGGAGGCGGTCGCGGCGACCGAGCGCGCGAAAAATTGACACCGCGGGCGACCGCGCGCACGCATCTGGCTTCAGGCGCGGGAAAAGAAGGCTCGGGCGCGGGAAGGATAAGAGGGAGAAGGGGGAAAAGGACGCGCCTGCTTGCTTCCGGGAAGCTCTCCGACGGCCGCTCACCTCCCTGCGACCCCGCCGGGAAGCTGCTCCCGCCGGCTGCGCTCCTCCTCGCTGGGTAGGTGGTCCCGCAGGCCGCGCTCCTCCCCGCCGAGCTCGTGGTACCGTCGGTCGCGCTCCTCCCCGCCGAGCTCGTGGTCCCGCAGGCTGCACTCTTCCGCGCCGAGCTCGTGGTCCCGTCGGTCGCGCTCCGCCCCGCCTGGAAGCTCCTCCCCGCCGGTCTCTTCATCTCGCCAGGCGCTCCACCCTGCCGGTCTCGTCCTCCCTAAGCTGAAGCCCCAAGGCCCAAGGTCCTCTCCTGCTCCTCTCCTCTGTTCCCTGCTCCTCCCCTGCTCTTCTCCTCTGTTCCCTGCTCCTCTCCTCTGTTCCCTAACTGCTTGGTAGGAGTATTGATCAGATCCGCACTACTAAGCAAGTGAATGCTGCAATGACAACATGCCACAGTCTGAACTTGGTAGGAGTGCTCTGAAGTGATGATTCTTATTTGATAAACAAATTGACCAAGCAGTTACCATGAATTTTCTCTTGGTTCAAGCTAGCACTTTTTTTTAAAAAAACATTGTTTGACTGCATGTATGTATCTTTGTTTGACTGAATCATTTGTAGGATGTGTGACTGATTTTTTTAGCTGATTTGCTACATGTATGTATTGCCTGAATGTTCACTTAACTCTGAATGTATTGTCACTGAAATCTGAATGTATGTATATGTATAGGATGTCGACAACAGAGGTTGCACCTGAAACTGAGGGAGCGAATCTCCTGAGAAGGAATTCGGATGATGTGGGATGGGAATATGGGGTTCTTGTTGATGCTATCAACAAGGACAAGGTGAAGTGGAAACTATGTGACAAGGTGATGCAAGGAGGGATTTATCGGTTGAAGCAACATGTATCAACTGCAACTAAGGACAAAGGACCTAAGGTATGTCTACTGGTCCTTCCCTATTTTTTATCTAAATTATTCATGATTTGTGCTATAAGCCTATAATTGTATATATTATATATTGATATATAAATATAAATTGGCAAAACGCCTAGAAAAACGCCTAGCATCGCCTAGGCTGGCCTAGGCTGGACTAGTCGCTAGGCTAAGGGTCATCGCCTAGATTTCGCCTAGCGCCTAGCAAAACTTTGAGCAGCTACTAAATCCACATAATTGGTTTTTAATATACTGTTCTGCAATTGATTAATTTTAAAATCACATCAGATATTTAGAAATGGAAGTCAAGGAAGAGACAGCATAAAATGGTTATACTGATAAATCCATATAATTGGTTTTAAATATACTGATAGGCAGCTTACTTGATTCAATAGTTCATCTTCTGTTGAAAATGGACACCACTTCAAAAGAGTGGACAGATTAGATAGAAAATGTTTTTCACCGCAGTTCATTTTCCTCTTGAAAGTTGAAGATGAGGCATCCAATTCATAGTCAACCTATGAAGGGGAAAGCCAATAAGTGAGATTTGTTTGGATAAGAAATAGCACGGTACCATGGGGTTGGCACAAATAAACTTATAACACTAAACATAATAATTGCATTGCTGAAGAATGAATTTGTGTTCTTCATAGAAAAGCTATTACAATGGAATGAAATGAAGCAAAGCTAGTTACGTCTTAACAATGTTCTCAAACAAAACGTGCTCAATCTTGCCCATGGAGAAATCAGAAGTACATAGTAGTAATTTATTATTTTGTGTACATAGACAAGTTTAGTGACATATGCTACAATTAATAGTGATATATGCTTTCCCTCAGAAATAATGACAAGCAAAAAGTTTAATGAACTAACCGCTGGTACAAATATGTCACTGCAGTTACTTCTCATAAGGAATGTGTAAGACAGCAACCCAATACTTCGTGTCAATCTCCTATCAAGTCAAAACATTACAGATTGTTGTGTTACTGTAAATAACTGAAAACTATACTGAATATAGGTTGGGTTAAGCCAAAGGGCCTCTAGTCCAACTGGTTAGAGCGTCCCAGCGGCACTCCTCAGGTCCTGGGTTCGATTCCCCGTGGGAGCGAATTTCAGGCTGGGGTTAAAAAAATCCCCTCGTCTGTCCCACGCCAAAGCACAGGTCTAAGGAATGGACCTGTTGTCACAGGGGTACAGTGCCGCTATGTATGGGTGGGGCAGGGGTTCGGGGGTTTTCTGAACCTGCGTGAGAAGGTTCTTCTTCTTAATGCAATGCCCGGGGGGTGGCTTTCCCCCCGCAGGTCCAGTTTTTTATAGGTTGGGTTAAAAGCTAGAAATACAAAAGGTCGGCAGAGAGGACAACTTATGTTATCTTTTCAAATGCACAAGCAGAACACTTGATGATAGAAACATTTCTATTAGCTTTCTTTTGCTATTAACATATCTTTTGGTCACATATATTAATTTACTAATCTCGGGCACACTAATCAAGAACCTCATCTTTAGAGCTAAAAACTGAAAAAAAAAACTGGAGAGTATAGTTGGTAACCACAGGTCAGAAATGTGTGGTTTTGTGAAATAGAAACAATGAAGTGTAGTTCATTTTATATAGTTGACTGCAAACAAGTAAACTTATCATATTTACTCTTTTTTAGCCCTTTGCATGATTTAAAGGCAGGGTAATGAGCTGTAACCTAATACTGTTGCCATCAAGTAATATGAGTTTGCTGATGCCACAAAATGAATATAGACATGAGGCAATGTTAAAGTTAGACTAACCTATCATCTTTCGTGCATGTGAATACAATAGCATCTGCCCCAAGCCTCATCGTGCTAGTTTTGAAGCCATTTCCATCTATTACATGTGACTATTCAAGTCAGTAAGTGTAATATATAGCAATGGAACAAGCAGCACAAAGCATTTTCAAGAATCATTACATTGCCCAATGGATGAAGTTGTACATTTCTGGGAGAATCCAAAGCTCATACAGTGTCGAAGAGATTTTGGACTCATGCCGCCTCCATTGTCTTGAATACAGAACAATAAGAGTAAGTAAAAACCAATATGAAGAAGGAAGATGGTAAATAACTATATGCTATCTTTGTTTTCATATACTTGCCACAAGCCAGTGCGCAAGTACCTAAGTAATCATTTTTAAGTAAATGTTCCCATTCTTAAGGACTGGCTTTCTTGTTTTTAGCCTTTGTACAGTTCCTTTTTTTTTTGGTTTTGTACAGACTTATATCTATAAAATGAGTTCAGTAGGGGTGTTCAGTGTTCCCCTCCTGGTTTTCTCAAAAAAAAGAAAAAAAAACCATCCATCCTCCAATAGAATCCCATGCTGTCATGAATGCAAAATGAGGCGACAAAGGAAAAAAGAACAAGTTTTACAGAGGAATTTGGAAAACACGGACTAGGATTGTGAACGTGTTTAGAAACAAAAATGCCATGTGAAACAAAGGGACCAAGGCAGTATTACCTTCTATTACCAACGAATAATCTCCATCAGGAGAATGCTTCATCTTGTCTATCTTCACAAAGGTTGCCCCATTGCTCACCTAATCCATTTGCTCGAGTAAAATAGAAGGATAATATAGACAAGAAGGATCCATTTGCTCGAGTAAAACAGAAGTATAATATAGACAAGGAAAAAAAGAATGAAATCAGAACTGCATTTCAGTGCGTGCGTCTAATGGAGGCCTATCTTCTCGTTTTGTGATCTGTTTGCCATGGCAGTTGTATAGAATCTTATCATTTGAACTCGCTGTTTTTGGATGTAATGTGGAACTATCCTGGTGTTGGGTTTAGAGGTTCTCTTTGTGGTTGGGTAAAGGCGCTCGTTTGTAAGCTGGTAACCCCAGCAATACTTCTGTTGCTTTCAATAGAAGCTGAGCTATAAGCCGTTGGTCTAAAAAAAAATCAGTGCAAAATTTGGATCATACCTCATCAATTGCGTTGTCAAGCAGCTCTGCAATAGCTGTATAACAGAAATTAATCAGTACCATCGCTAGCTTGTCTAGATCTCCACAATTAATAGCACACAAATGCTCAAGCAAAATCAGGAGAAGAATGTTGTTTTTCAGTGTTGTCAGTATGACTTACCACCAAATGGCCATTTATGTGAAGTAGCATTAGAATGAAGAAACTTGGGGTGAATCTGTAAGCGGTTGTGGCCATCTACAAATGTAAACCTCATGCATCAGAAAAAGGTGAAAGAAAAAAAAAAGGCGGGTGTAAATGGTAACAGGGTTATCAGAACCACACCCACTCCTGGGAAAACTACAACCTGACTAAACCAGTTGGGTTTCCCTCCCATTATGTTGGCATGGCAAGATGGCTGCAACTTTCTCACCATTTATATTTATATTATATTAAAATACAGATGATACTTTTGATCTAGTGGTTTTTTTCTTTTTAAAAGACAATAAACAAGGCTTATATATAACTCCCATTCTATATTCCATGTATATATAATTCATATGTTCCTTTTATGAATTCATGATTTGGTTGAACAGTGTGGAGTAATTGACTTTGTCTAAGGAGACTCTCACAGAAGTGGTGAGAGTCACCAATGTATGGAAGGCGAAGGGCAATCCACCTTAGCCTGGAACAATGTGGGCTTTAAATAAGACTGATATATTTGATTTATTTTTATTGGTTCAGTGATAAATAGACTGATGGGCTTGAAAAGGAAGGTTCAGAAAATACTGTTCAGAGCAGCTTGAGAAACTGATCCATAATCTCCAGCTTTTTCTCCAGCTTTCCAAAATTGCCGGGGAAATGGTGTTGCAGTAGACACATTGAACAATCCAGTTATCATGTGTCTCCCTTGTGTACTTGTCAAGGATGTGGTAGCTTCAGCTGAATTTCTCAACAGCGCAGCCTCTTGCATGCTACCACCTGCTGCTAGAAACTCCTGCCTTAGTAATGTTGTTGTGCACTGAGCTTTATGAGATCCCTGCCACTGCAGTGCTGTTGTGCAGTGAGGAAAATCACCTTGTGTGTCATCTGCAATAGATTCCTGCCTCTGTTGTGTTGTTGTGCACTGGACAGTGTCACCTTGTTCATTGTCTGCAGTATGTTCTTGCCTCTGTAATGTTGGTGTGAACCAGGCAGCATCACCTTGTCCATCATGTTTTTGTGTCTGTAATGTTGCTCTAGGTTCTTGCCTCTTCTGTAATGTAATGCACTGGACAGCATCACCTTGTCCATCATCGGCAGAAAGTTCTTGCATCTGTAATGTTGTTACGCACTGGGCAGCATCACCTTGTACATCATCTGCTCTAAGTTCTTGAATATGTAGACTTGCTGTGCACTGGGCAGCATCGCGTTGTCCACCATCTGTTTTAAGTTCTTGCATCAGTAGTGTTCCTGTAGAGTGGACAGCATCACTTTGACCATCATCTGCTCTAAGTTTTTGCACCTGTAGTGTCTCTGTGAACTGAGAAGCATCGCCTTGTCCACCACCTGCTCCAAGATTTTGCATCTGTAATGTTACCGTGCACTGGGCAGCTTCCGCGTGTCCATCGTCTACAGTGAACTCTTGTTTAAGAAATGATGTGCCCTGAGCAGACCCTCCTTGTTCGTAAGCAATATGACCTCCTTCAAAAATGTCATTGTCACTAGTCAAGTCAAAAAATTCTGCCTTCACATGAACACCTTTTCCATGAACATTGGGTTCTTCCGTGACAACTACCTCCTCATCATCACTGGACACATAAACAATGTCTACTATCATTGCTCAACCTGAAACGGCAAAAAGATGTGAGCAATGGAGCACAGCAAAGGGAAAATGCTGAACAATCACAAGGCCATTTGCATGCAAACAACAAACACATCCCTCCCTCCAATCTATGCCAACCGTAAAATTTGGAAGTTCAATTTGGGAATTTGACTCATCATTGGGCTAGCAGATGGATTTTGTGGCACAGATTGAATTTTTCTTCATCTGTTGTAAATATTGTAACAGCAGAAGTAGTAACAAAGTAGAAACCATAGACGGAAGTTCAGAGCTCCATGAAAATGCCTAATGCCTGGCCCCGCAGTAATTGATGTGCTGATAAAAGTATTATCTCAAAATTAATCCACCAAGGAATTCACCTGAAAGACACGCCTCCTTTGTTTCTTTTATTCTGGATTGGGGTTGAAAGAGAGGCCTTTGCACAAGTTAGGTGCCGTGGAGAAGGCAACGGGGGCACAAGGAACCCGTGACTGATTGCGCGAGATTATCACACCCCAAAACATAGACAAAACATACATAGATGATCCGGAGCGAGAAATCGTACGCGCACGCACCACACACATAGGGGGAATCCGAGACCTAAATCCCAACAATCGGAGCACCAAACCCATATCCAAAAACGAAACCAATAATCACCAAAACAAAAAGAAGGGTCTCCGAACCCTTACACACATTACAGAAAAATGTAAAGAACACCAACGGGCTGGAGGCACAGAACCAGGCGGGAGGGACAGGGGAGATGTAAGTACCTAGAATGGGGCTGCTCCACGGAGAGAATGGGAGATTGATGAGAGCCAGTGTGCGAAGAACGGGGTTTTCTGTTGCAGTAGCAGAGGCGGCGGTGGAGAGTGGGGTGGGGACTCTGGGGTTTGCTCTGATCTTTCTGTTTCCGATGCTCTTAAGCCCCCCGTTTGGCAGAGCTTCATTCCATTATACAAATTATTTTTTTTTTTTTAGCTCTACAAACAGCTTCATCAGTGGAGCTGAAATGGTTTTGATAAATCATTTGGTAAAATGGCTTCTCTGTGAGAGCATGTTTTTAGAGGCCTGGAGAAGGAGCCGGAGAAGCCACTATTTTTTGCTCCTTCCCACCCCAAAACTCTGTGAGAGCATGTTTTTAGAGGCTTCATCGGTGGAGTCGTTTTATTTTACCCCGTTTAAAAGAAAACGGCTCCAAATGACTCTTGAAACCACTAGAAAAACCCTGCCAAACGAGACCTAATTTTCGAAGAGAGAGAATCAAGGCAAAGGTTTTTTTTTGGGTTTGTTTTCTGGTGGGAAGCGATATGATATTTATTTATTTTTTAAATTGGAAGCGATATGATATGACCGTAGTGCGCGGTGGATAGGCGGTGTAACCAGGGCGCCGGGTGTACGTCTGCTCTACAGCTGGTATACACTTTTACCTGCCCTTTCCCTACTGTAGCCTGTATGTAACCGGTGGAGAATCTTTGAGACTGTAGAGAGGGCGAGCGACGCGTGGTGGGTCCTCCCTCAGTTACTTTTATTACTTTTATTATTATTATTATTATTATTATTATTATTATTATTATTATTATTATTATTATTATTATTATTATATTAGTGTCGTTCAATTTTTTTCAAATTTAACTATATTTACAGAAAATATTAGTAACATTTATGTCTTTAAATAAATTTATTATAAAAATAAATTTGACGATCTATCTAATAATACCACTCTCTCTATCTCTAAAAGAATAGATTTCCAAACAAAAAATTTGTGCCTCAACTTCTAGACCCCCATCATCTATTAGACTCATTTATTTTATCAGGAGTTTCTAGCGGTCAATGTACCCATTTAGGGCAACAGGGCATGGTTGGGACCTTTGTTAGCTGCTCGCCAGTCTCGCATAGCAAGAAAAGTTGTTTGGTTGTCTCTCACCTTGCCTGTTTATCCGGCAAGCTTGCCCACCAGGGCAAGGAAATCCTTGCCAGCCCAAGTGAGCCAAATCAGATCTCTTGTCTGGGCAAGGTTGGCGCGCCCACTCGTGCGCTCACGTGGGCAGCCACCGCCAAACCGGTCTCTGTGCCGCCAAATTGGAGACGCGGCCACCAAATCAGAAGTCCGCTGCCACCAAATCAGACTCCGCTGCCACGGAATCACCCTGTGCCGCCACCGAATCGGCCTCTACCTTGCCGAACCGATCTCCGTTGCCACTGAATCGGAGTCTAAATCGACTTTCCTTGATGCTGGTTCAAGTTCACGATGTTGAATCGTTCCTCCGTGGGCATCGAATTGGGCTGCGCCATCACCGAATTGGACCTCCGTTGCTGCCGGATTGGGCTCCACTTGAGCTACAGTGCGAGGCAAGGCGAACAGTGGCAAGAGAACCAAACGCCTTCCACGATTGCCTTACGAGCAGGCTAGGCGAGGTGAGGTGAGTGGGTTAGGCGAGGCGAGACACACCTTTGTTCCCCTTTATACATCATGCTCTAATGGTTGATTTAGTGGGTGCAATACATTATTGAAAACAACAAAACTCATTGCTCCAGCTTCTCGTTAAGTGGCGAGTACAGTTAAAGTTAAGAAGCTTAATACTCCATCTGTCTTAGGATATAAGGCATGGACGTATTTCAAAAATCAAAATTTGTTATTTTTTATCAATAATTTGCCTAATAATATAAAAAATTTATAGTACAATAGTGGTAACATTAGATTTGTGGTTACAAATACCTTCTAATGACACTTTTGTTGTTGCCATAAATTATATACAATAGTACTCCCTTCGTTCTAACTTATAAGTCGTTTTGACCATGCATAGCAAAATGGATATACCAAAAAAATCAAAATGACTTATAATTTGGAACGGAGTGAGTATAAATTAACGGTTAAAGTATGATCTTGAGATGGAGGGAGTAAGGGGCAGTAAGGTCTTCCTCTTGTGTGCTAATTTGTTCTAAACTTGCTACAAATCTATTTTTTCAGGGACATAGGGAGTAATTATGTACCATAAATAATATTTTTTATATATTTGGTCAAATTTAAGTTTATTGGACTTTTCGGGAAGCGAGAACGATGATTAAAAATGACGATGGGAGTAAGTAGGATTCAAAATGCTTGGAAGCTGCCGATCCTGTTTGGCGCTGCTCGAAGTTTGGCTCCGACTCTATCGACAGCTTTGGCATTAATTGAAACTAGAAGCCGCACTACATACAGACAGGAGAAGTATTTTTGGATGTTGAGTAAATGAGCCGAAGCCATTTTAGCCATATAGCCATGGAGACATGTTTTGGTGCTTCCGCCTACCGGCTTTCGCTCCGGCCAAGAAGCAGCACACGCGGAGCCGTATCAAACACGCTCAAAGAATGGAGCAATGAGTACGAACGGCAGTGTGTTACCCATGACCCATTAGGTTTTTAGTTCATTGGAGTATGGGCGTAGACTATTTATTTGGCAATGCTAGCGTCCGGACGCCCCCCCTCCTCCCTGCTCGACGCCACCTCCAACGCCGCCCTGGCCACTGGCTACCTCGCCGGCGACATCACCGTCGCCCACCCACCCCCGCCGCTCCTTTCCTGCCCTTCCTAATCCCAAACTCGACGACTTACTACTTCCTCCCTGCTCACCACCACCTTGGACGCCGCCCTGGGCACCGTCCACCCCCGCCGCTCCTTCCCCGCCCTTCCTAATCCCAATCCTAGAGACTTACCTCCTCCTTGTAACACCCCTGGTGTTACGCACCTATTTAGCAATAGTTTAAGACTTAATAAAACCTGATAATTAAGTTTTTCTATGCTTGGTGATCAACTCTTGCATGAAATGATAAGTACATGTTTATTGAATCATTTTTATGAATAAAATCATGTTGTGTGTTGATTAACCAACCTTGCTTCTGTGCTTAAACTCCTCTAAATAAACTTTTGAACAGAAGTTGTTTAGCGTTTAGGTTTGAAAAATGTGGAGAAAATGATTAAAAAATTCCAAAAACATTAGCTTATTTAATTTGCGTAATAGTTTTTTGACAACTAAATAAACAATTGTTTTTTTTTAAATACTTAAAATTTTGTCAATATGAAAACCTTACTATAAGTTATGTTCTTGGTGGTAGAATACTTGTTTGTACCTAGTTTGCATATTTGATAGATTAAATGGTGCTTTAAAGTTTGAATAAAAAGCAAATTCGGTAAGGGACTTAGGAATGTCTGATAAATGCTGACGAACCCAACTTTGAGCTCCCATATCTCCACATCCATTCACTGTTTTACCCGGGACACCTAAACAATGTTGTAGCTCTTTCACCCAAGATTAAATGTTGTTACAGTTTCTTGGTCCGATTACAAACAGAAGCTGGCGAATAACTGAGTCCAAACCCAGTAAAAGGCCCTTTTCGCGCCTGTCTCTCTGGTGGCCGCGGTCACCGCGTGGGCAGACCACGCGGCTCGTCCCTGCCACGCTCGCCCGTGACCCTGCTGCGCTGCCCGCCTGGCCACGCGCTGCCGCTCGCCTAACCCCGCGCTGCTGCCCAACTGGCTCCGCGCTGCTGCCCAACTGCGCACGCGCGTCACGCCGTCACCAGCCTTGACCGCGCGGTGCCGTCCTGTGCGACGCTGTGGCCACAGCGACGGACCGGTCCCCGCTCCGCGCTCACTTCGGACCGCTGGATCGAGCGTCGTGGCCACCGGTTCCATAAAATCCATGGCCGCGGCCGTCTCTCTCCCTCTGGCCCGGCTCCCGTCCGCCATGGACGCTGGCTCGAGCTTCGGCCACCGCCGCCCGTTCCCCTTGCTCCAAGCCTCCCCCGAGCACAACCCACACCTCCACCAGCTCCGTGACCCTCTCCTCTCCCCTGCGCACACGCTCATCCGAGCCGGCGTCGCCAGTAACCGGCGCTGCCGCCAGCCGCCGACCGTCGCGCCCGCCGCTACGCACGGCCGTGCCCATGCCGGCCACCGCGGGGCGTGCCGCGGCCACCACCCCGCCTCCGGAGCACGCCAGCCCGGCGTAATCGGCCCCATCCCCGACCGGCACTGTGCGT